AGCGTGTGTGGGTGCAGCTGTAAGTGTGTGTGTGGGTGCAGCTGTAAGTGTGTGTGTGGGTGCAGCTGTAAGCGTGTGTGGGTGTGCAGATGCTCAGTGTACAGTTGTGTGGGGACTCGAGGCAGGGCTGTGCAGGTCCGTGGATATTTGGGTGCAGACGTGTGGGTATGCAGGCTTGAGGGTGCACAGGTGTATTTGTGCGTGGATGTTCAGGTACGCCGGGGTATGAACTTAGAGAGAGGAAGGAGGAAGATGGAGAGGGGACTGGTCCGCAGCTCTTCACACTTTCATGATCTGGGTTCATTGGATCTTCATCCGTGGCTAAGGTCCTCAGACACAGGGTTACCAGAATCCATGGAGGCAGGAATGTGTGGGAGGATGCCTCTATCTCCCCTGGCCTGGGAGACAGTTTCAATTAAAAGAGAACCTGGAAGGCCAGGGGTGGTGCACACTTTTAGTCCTGACGTGCATGAGGCAGAACAGGTCCATCTCTGAGTCTGAGGCCAGCCTGGTATACATACATACATACATACGTACACACACACACACACACACACACACACACACACACACACACACATATATATATATATATATCTTGTGGTCTCGTGTAGCTCAGACAAGTCATAGCCTGTTACACAACTGAGGATGACCTTGAACTTCTGACCTCCTGATTTGAACCCCAAATGCTGGGACTATAGGTGTGAAGCACTGTACCTGGCTACCAATATTTTTCGGATATAGGTTCAACCCTGTAGAAACACTGTCCGTGCCTACAGCGCACATCTGCTGGCCACGTCTGGGGCCCAGGGCCTCGTGGGCCTCGCTCCGCCTCACCTTTCCCGGATGAACTCGGACATCTCCTTCTGCATCTGTTTGCCTTTCAGCTGCTTCTGCAGCAGTAGCTCGAAGCCAGCCACAGTGCCATTGCCTTGGGGGTCCTTCTTATCCGCCTAGGAAGAAACAAAAGCCCAGCTTACCAGGGTGGGCTGTGGGCTCAGGACCCCTTCCAGGCCAGACCGGGGAGCCGCTGCAGCCTGCAGAGGCCCTGCTCACTGCGCAGGCCTTCACGGACCTTCTGCCCTGTCCCGAGCACAGCAAAGCTCTTTTCTCAGAGCACTGACCCGAGAGCCTCGTGCACAGTGATCACACCAGTCCTGACACTGAGCTCCACACCATGCGCATCCTGCTGAGGCTTCCCTGTGGGTGCTAAGGATGTGCACATGTCACCCTGTGAATGCTCGTCTTCATAGACAGTCAAGAAAGTCACCCCAAAGCCCAAACATGCTTCTCCCGGCATGAACAGGCCGAACAACTCGTTGGCTCAAAGGAAAACCAGCAAGAGTGGTGTGTTCCAGTGCCTATGCCAGCAAGGAGATGTTTCTACTAAGAAGAAAAGGCCTTGATGGTGGTGGGAGGAAAACCTCGAAGAACGGACCGGTCGCCAGAGCTCAGATTAGACCTCTCGAGGGAGCATGCGGGCGTAACCTGTAATCCCGGCACGGGAAGCAGAGGTGCAAGGAGGGCCAGGCTGTCTCAACATCGACACCAAACAGGCAAAGAAGGACGCTGGCTCACAAATGTGCTTTCCCAGGGAGCCTCTGAGCGGCAGGCAGCACCGCGTGTTCTGCCCACAAGTTTCTCATCTCTGCTCTAGGATACGCCCTGATCCCTAGAGCCCCAGGGATGACTCCTGCAGACATGACTGCCTCTGGCCTACCTCTGCTGCTGTCACTGCTCTTCCTGGGCAGCTCACTCACCCCTCACCCTCCGTTCCCACCTGCAACACGGGTAGGTTGCACCTTGTTTCTCCTTAGGACTCCCTCAGTACCTACAGACAGCACAAGACCCAACCTCCTTCAGGCCTACAGACTCTTCCTATCTCCTTCCGCCTCCGTGTCTCCTGCCCGGGATATTTCTCACAGCACCCCTTCCCCCAAGCTTTCACACCCCTGCAGACCCCTCTCTTGGACTCTGCAGTGGCAGGCACTGCTGTCCTGGGGCAGCAGGAACCATCATGTGCTTTCTAACGGGGGCGTTGTTTGGGAGGAAGAAGAGAAGCATCTTCATCTGGGGGTCCATATATCCATTCTGCGCCACGGTGGAAAGAGGTTTTATTGACTGACTGTTCCTCGGGGTCTTCCGAGAGCTTTTGGTAGAGTTGGTAGTTTTCCACAGACGATCAAGGCTGCCTGAACCACACCACTATTGCCTGCGGAAGTCAGTGTCACTCCTGACTTCAAGGTGCAAATACTCAGGACTAGCTCCAGCATTCCTGGGGTAAGGACTTCACATAAGACATCATTTTAATGGTAGGAAAATACAAGTGATGCCAGATTTACTGCTGCCGTCATTCCTAAGTGTACATACAGTTCAGTGACAGTAAGTGTGCTGAGACTGAGGTGGTGACATCTGCCTCCCGTCACCTGCTTCTCCTCTTGCAACAGGCAACCCTGTGCCCACCAAGCAATAGACAAGGGCTTGAGAGCCACGGATGCTGAAAGAGGAGGTTCATGCATCCCCGTCTACACCCAGCGTCCCCATGATTCAGTTGGGAAAAGCAAAATGCAAGTCGGCAGGGCGTGTGTACAGGGCCACTCATAGTGGTGCCCAGCAGGCCTGGAGCTTAGATTTCATTACTAAAAGCGGTTCTCGCCTCCTGCCTCCAGCCAGCGATGGCGGGAAGTGCACTCCGTGTTACTGTGAATGAAAGCCACGTGGATTTCCAGGGACTACTAGGAATGATCTAGGAAAGGAGGTGTAACAGGGCGCCATGCCTTGAGTCTTCAACAGGAAGAACCCTTCCCACCCTTCCCAGGCATATGCTCCTGTTGGGTGGGGGTCACAGCGAAGGGAAACCGAGGCAGCACCTACCCAGAAGTAGTCACAATAGCTCCACTCAGTCGGCTTGAGCAGCTGTTGTTCAGGCATTGTGTCTGGGTGAGGGAACGTCACGCAGTTTATCTGCAGAGTACAGGATGAGAAAGAGGAGGCTGTCACTGCAGAGCAGAGGGGACAGAGCACACAGGGGCCTCCCCACAGTCGCCTGGGTGGGATGGACTCAGCGGTCTTCCCGTGCTCCAGCAGCCAGCGAATACTTCAAATAAGAGGCAACAGGCCCTTCCTCACACTCATTCCAGGGGCTACACCGAGGGAACCTCTTTGGCAGGAGTCTAATCGGGTCTGGGAATTAATTAGGGAAACATGGCAACTCTCGGGATTGGGAGGGAGGAGGGAGAGGATCAGGGAGTATGGGAAGAGATTAGTTCAACATACAGTATGTACTGCTGTGAAAGTGGCCTTATAAAACACAGTACAATGTATATCACAAGTGCATACATATGCATATAAGCACACATATAAAAATGATAAAGTTCACACACATTGATAAGGAGGAGTGCCAGGGGGCACTGTTAGGCGGTACGTGGTCTGGGTGCGCGGCGGGCAACCTGCAGAATAGTTTACACTGCCATGGTGTGCTCCGTTTGTATGAAGAAGCAGGGTAATATCCATGTGCTTGGTAATATCCTATGTGCAATCATTCTGGAGGCTAGCACCCTAACTTGCTTCCAAGAAGAGCCAAGGGCTGGACAGACTAAGTGAGAAGCACCTGAGGGTTGGGGCTGAGAGGTTACACTGAGCTGCCTGTGGTATGAAGATGGAGAGCGTGGTGTGGAAGTTTCTGGCTATTACGGCTACTGTTCCTCATAGCCATGTTGATGCTGCTCCTGCTTTGTGGGAGTGGTTTTGCTGCTGTTCCTCTCGCTGATGCAGCTTCAAGTCCCCACCCCCACCCCCACCCCCTGCATCCTCCTTCAACCTCTCCTCATAGACCAGGATCTGGTGCTGAAAGGAAGAGCAGAACCCCCAGGCTCTGACCTAGGAAGGGCAGGCAGACAGCCAGGTACCCCCGTAACACAGACTGTACCACCAGGACAGGAGGGAAACAGCCTTGCCTTGGGCAGAGTCTGCAGGCTGTGGATATGTATCCCATGGAAAGATTCAGATTTCTGCTCCCTGTCATCAGGGCATGGTCAGCCAGAGGTCAGGGGCTGCGTGTCAGTTGTCTCAAGCTTTGAGCGACGGCAATTAATTTAGAGGTAAAACAAAACAAAACAGCAACCAAACGACAATAAAACACCATGTACAACCAGCTGAGTCAGACCCTGGGGTAAGGGCAGGAGACCATTTGGCAGTCAGTGAACTGCCTTGCCTGCCAGCTGCCAGGAGCAGCAGCTGACCTCACAGGTCTGGTGAAGAGACCCAGAAGTGCTAGCTGGAGGGGCAAGGCCTGCTCCTGGACACGGACTCCGGACACTGGTGAGGTAAGGCCCCTTTGGGGAGGAGCACGATGACACAGAAAGGAGAGGGCAGAACTGTCACAGTGCCCTGGAGATGCACAGCTCTGAATTCTGCCACACTGACTTCAATGTGGCGTCCTGGCCAGCAGCTGCTGCTAGGAGCTGCAGGGGTTGGGAGTGGGGGGTAGAAGAGGCAGCAACTTATGTCCAGCCTCAGGAAAGGGTCTCTCCAAGGTCTTCATTGAGGCTGAAGCCTCTCTGCTGTGTGGTGTCCTGATCTGAGCCTTCTTTAGGGGCCTCAGCTGCCTCCCACTGAGTGAGTACTGCCTGGGGCCGTTATGAAAACAGGGTATGGCGTTTAAGCCTTAAGGTATTTCCTGTTCCAGCCAAATTGGTGATTACAGTTTCACCTTTATCTTGCTACATGAAAGCTTTAATGTGATTCAATGGTACAAGAATTTTTAACAGGGAAGTAATCAGGCTCTAAGAGTCACAGGACCAGGGACAGGGAGGTGTCTCATCGGGTAAGAGTGCTTGCTGTGTATGCAGGAGGATCGAGTTCAAATCCCTAGAGCCTCAGTGCAACCTCAGGCATGGCTGCATGAGGCTCAGAGACAGGAGGATTGCTGGGAGCTGACTTCCAGCCTAGCTCCAGTTTCCTGAGGGAAGATCTCAAGGAAATTGTGCAGAGAATGAGAGAGAAAAACAGGTCTTCCTCTGGTGTCCACATGCATGAGAGTGTGCACACACAACCATGCATACAAAACACACACAAATAAGTAAATGAAAGAACCATGGAAGCCATAGATTTAAGGGACAGTTGCCCTTCAGCATCTGGGGGGGAAGGGGCGGTCACTGGTTTCAGGCCTCACAAGGACGGCAAAATGTATAGATGCCAAGCTCCTTCATGTAAAGCCGCACAGTTTGCATATAACAAATACAGACCCTCTGGCCGTCTAGAGACCTATAATACTTAATCTGAGCTCTATAGTTGTTCTACTGTGTGGTTTTAGGGAGTAGTAGCCAGAAAAAAAATGTTGCACAGTTTAGTACAGACACAGTTTTCTAAGGAACCTCACGATCTACCCCTGACACTCTTCGTCTTGGCCATAAAGAACAAATGTACCACAATCGGCTTGGCCGGTGGTGGGTCAGGGCAAGGGGAAGACAGGTCTTGTTCATCCGTATCCAGCATCCTTCCTGAGAGGACCCCCACCCAGAGAAAGGATGATACGGTCAACCCTATGGTTCCCACGAAGACAAGATAGACCCCATTAGTGCCAAGGGGAGTCACAAAAGATCTTCAATGCCAACCCTCTGCCGGCTCCAAGACTGACCACAGAAGCTCCACAGCAGGGCCAGCACTTGGTTATGTCCCAGCCAAACCCTCCTTTGTCCTAGAGCCACGGCACACATGCTACAGGCCATGTGGGGGGCTGTTAAGACAGATGGTGGGTCCTAGCCCGAGCGTCTGGTCAGAGGCTCTGGGGCTGGGTCTGTAGGCAATGCCGACAGGTGAGAAGCAGCATTCACAAGCCAGGTTAAGGGGCTGGACCAGGAAGGCCTGCACCCACCCGAGGAAGACAGAGTCCTGTCAAACCTCAGGGAGCCTTCCAGAGCGATGCCTACAGGAGGGACTAGAAGGTTTGGGGTGTAGAAGGCGAAGGCCCCTCGGTGGCTCTGGAGTGGCCATGAAGGATGGGCAGGAGTGAAGGTTGGGGTGGGGGAAGCCGTGGGCTCTTGATGCCTCTGCCTCTCTTCTTGGATGCCTTGGTAAGGAGGTCTGGGGTACCTGTCACTGCCTCTGTCACTTCTGGTTTAGGTTAGCTCACAGGGATTTCCCAGAATCCCCAGAGCCTTTTCCCCCCTGGTGGTCATGTAGAGGAGTGCACAACACTGAGGGAAATTGGATCACAGAAGTTCAAATTCAGGTCAGGCTGGCGGCAAAGCTAACTGTTTGCCAGATAGCTCCTCCATGGCACGTGCTACCCTGAGTTCCCTTGGTATGCTGGGTCTCTCCCCAGCATCCTGCTCACATTTGTTTGTGTTGCTACTTTTTTTACATTCCCTTCCTTGTTGATAGACCATCTCTGAGGGCAGGCGGAGAGGCAGAGACCACGCTTCCCTGGGCTTTTCCTAGCTCCTGGCACAGGGGGTCAACAGTGGGTATTCAACAAAGCATCGTCACTGCAATGGCCGGGAACTAGGCCTGAGGTTACAGCCTCTGTTCTCAAGAGCTTGATAGTTATGGAATGACAGTTCTTGAGAGAAACCTCGTGTTAGAGTAGACACAGGAGGCTGAGGTCACAGGAAAGGCTGGGATGTTAGGGTGATTCTTAGATGCAGTGGTGTTTGAGGAGGACCTAGGCAGACAGGCTGGGAAGAGGTAAGGTTATTTCAGGTTTCAAGAAGGAAAGAGGCGTGTGTGTGTGTGTGTGTGTGTGTGTGTGTGTGTGTGTGTGTGTGTTGACACACGTGCACGTCGAGTCTGGCTCAGAAGCAAGAGGGGCTCTGGCAGATGTGCTCAGGTGCCTGTGCTGAGGCAGTTAGCCACCAAGCGTCTAGGGCGAGCATGATGTGAACAGGACAGTGTTCTCTGGAGAGCCCCCAGCTACATGTGGCAGAAGTGTGAAAGAATATGACTGTGGTCCCAGGAGGGAAAGCCTCAGGCAAGCCCTTGACCCCAAATGTAAATGGTGGTGAGGCTGAGACCACGAGGAGCCAGGCCTGACTGAAGGTGTGTCCCCCGAGCTGGGGCGTGAGGAGGGGAGAGGAGTGAAGAGGAGTGAATTCTGGAGAGTGGGAGTCTGCGGCCGTGGAGGGTGTCTCGAGGCCAGTGAAATGAAATGCGCAGTGAGCAACCAGAGCAGAAACGCCCGTCTGTGACAGTGGAGCCAGCATGCACAGGGGAGGAAGCTGAGGCACAGAGGCAGACAGGGCACTGTCACACTGCTAGCGTGGCACAAGAGGGTGCAGGGCTGGTCTCTCAGGCACCGGTCTGTCGTTCTCATGCTAACCCTGCTCTGCTGTGAACGTGAGGCCAAACAGCCAGGCTCTGTGTCCCTGGACCACAAGACTCCCTTAGCAGGGCTATGGTACTCCAGGGAGGAAGAGCAAGTGAGACACCTCTTTCTCCAGGGATTCCTCCATGGGCAGATTCCTTTCCCCTCCTGGTGACTTCCAGGCAGCTGATAGAAGCCTATAGCTGCAGTCCTGGGGGAAAGGTGTGTCTCCTCCGAACCCCTGCTGGGCCCAGTGAGGGCCTCAGCCCCTCCCGTCCCTGCACATTTATTAGGCATCCCTGGGATCTACTTCACGCCCAGCAAGAGCTAATCATGCTGCTTGTGGTTGCTATGTGTGAACTCATGCAAGCCTCGCCACGGCCACGGGAGGCGCTGAAGCACAGAGGGGTTAGGTAACTTAACACAGCTCACACAGCCCATATGTAAGAGTGGAGCCACGGCCTGAATCCGGACCAGGACTTCGGGTCCCAACTAGGATCCTAAGCCCTGTCACACATGACTTGTCCAACACGCTGGGACAAAGTGTAGCTATGCCCTACTCATGCCCAAGGCAGGTGCTGAGCAGGGAGCAGAGCCAGGGCTGTGCTTGCTCTCAGTGTGTGTGTGTGTATGTGTGTGTGTGTGTGTGTGTGTGTGTGTGTGTGTGTGTGTGGCCATCCCTGCTCTCTCCCCTGGCGACCCCAGCTTCCCCCACAGCCACATGGAGAAACACCCTCGTCCTACCCCAGTGGATGGGGCATTTCCTCTCCAGTGGCTTCTTGGCCTTGGCACTCGGCAGGATCATGAGGGCTGTTCCCAGACACTCTTTGGAGGTTCGAAGGGAGCAGCAGCAGTTGGTAAGGCCCCTGACTGGGCCTTGGGGCTGAAGAACACATGTGTGACCCACCTGAGGGGCTGATGTGGGAAGCCGGGCACCTGCTTTCATTGTAGGGCAGTGATGTCTGTGTCTGAAGGCAGGGTATCAGTCAGTCTTCAAGAGCCTTCAAGGGCTGTGTTTACATAGTTTGGTAACCCAGGCTGTAGCTAAGTACTCTGTGAGCCCCTGACTCAGTAAAGTGAAGAGACAGGAAAGGATCCCGAGGGCTCTCCTCCAGCCACTAGCTCCCTCCCAGAGTGCCATGCCCACAGGCCAGTTACATTGGGCATTCAAGTGGAGGACAAAGTCCTCTAATTCCTCTGTCCAGGAGACTATGCCTGCTGCCTTCCCTGTCATCATTGCTCGGCTCCTCCACATCTTGATGTGTCAAGTTTGTGCTGAGGGCAATGAGCGGCCATTGGTGCCTGTCAGCCCCAATCAAACAGCTGCCCTCCCCCACCTGCCAGCCCAGCAATTCTGACATGGACAGATGAGACCCAGGCATGGCTCCCAGCCTCGCTGCTGCTGCTGCCAGGGGGTCCATGGTGCCTGCTCTTATAAACTAGCTTGGGGCCACTGGGCTTCAGACCCAGCTTGGTCCTTGCTCCTTGGCTGAGGACAGGTACCCTGTGCTGGCAGGGCCTGGCAGTCCCTGCCACCCAGATCAGAGGAGGGAAACTGCTGGCCACAATGCCAACACTTTCTGAGGCAGAGACGCTGGTGTCCCCACATCCTAGGAATGTGGCAGTCTCCTCCCATGAAGAAGTGCTGAGCTCTGTAGGGTTTGAACTTGGAACTAGGGGCTGGGTATGGAGACAGAATCCTGAGTGATGGAAAAAGTGGCTCAGGTCTGCAGCCTGAAGTGATGTGGGGTTAGCGTATCCAAGGGGGTGCATGGGCTAGCAGACGGGAGACCTGGATTCGAGTCCTGGGGTTTTCTTTCCTACTTGCTGTGTGACCTGTAGGCACTCCCTCCTTTGCTCCGTTTCCCAGAAAAAGTTCTGCAAGGTGTGAGCGTTCAAGGCAAACCTCTAGAACTGGTGACAGAAACGCAGTTTCTGGTTCTTGCCCCAGAGAGACCAACTACAAATGCTTTTCAGGAATCTGAACACTTTAAACAGTGTCTCAGAAGCTATGACTCTGAGCTATGTGGCTCAGTCCATCCCAGATGTGCTGATGTGGGCCAGAGGGGAAGACCAGCAGGAGGGACAGGGTGTGCCGTCCAGTGAGAAGCTCAGAGCCACGCTCAGAAGCTCCGAGTGAAAGGACTAGGTAGGAGCCTGATTCTGTGGCTGTGTGTCTGAAGCCAGCCAGCCAGCACAACGCCACCTTTCAGCCTTCACTTCCATTGTGAAAACACGTCTCCCTCTTATTTGCTCTTCTTCCTTGTGGCTTTGAGAAGCTGTGGCCATGCTTCAGCATTTGGCAACAATGTGAAGGTAGAGAACCACCCCCTCAGAAGCCCGAACCTAGGGGTCTACCTGTGCCCTGCCAGCTCTCGAGGAAAAGAAGTTGTGGCTGCTGAAGGGCTACAGCAGGCTGAGCTCCTCCTCCTAGTTTCCAGGAGACACAAGGAGCTCAAGACAGCGATGATGACCTGGGGGACCCAAGCCAGCTCAGGAAGCCTGGACAGTGGGCACGAGCTGAGGTTTCAGTCCCGGGGCTTCCGAGCTAGGTGAGCTTGTGCTCCACCCTCCTCACGCGTGCAAAGTATGGGGATCACACTAATGCCCATCGACGGACTCTGTTCTAGGCTTGTCACAGGAATGGACCAGTTCATTCCAGCTTCCGCCGCCCCCCCCCCAACCAAAGCCCTCACTTCCCTGCTCTCTAGACGCAGGCACCAGGAAGGGCTAGGAAACTTGCTCAGACTTTGGCACAGCTTGGTGAATGGCATCGGTGACTCTCTGGCTCCGTGGTCCAGGCATACGGCTGCTCTGTTAACCACAGCTCCCACGGCAGGAGGCAGACGGAGCCCCCAGGGGCCAGTCCTGGTGTGTACCAAGTGGGCACTGAGGTGGCCGCGGGCATTGCGGTTGTGGTTGCTGTTTGGCTCTCTCTTCCCTGCAGAGCAGGATGACCCACTCGCACAACCATGGCGATGGGCTCACTTGGTCTTTGCAGAGGTGGTTAGGACAGCTCAGAAAGGGGTGACAGGGAGCCCAAGACAGAGAGTCTCTGCCCATGTCACCCCACACTCATGCCGGGGGGGGGGAGCAAGTCTGAAGACTTCGCTCTCACATCTCTGCTGTTGGCTAAGAACCTGGGCAGCTCCCTCCTTAAAGCAGAGAGCAGAGATGTCAGGGCTCCAGTGCACCAGAGGCTTGGAGGAGAGGAGTTGGGGGCCCCACTCTACCCCCACAGGGGTATGTGGACAGTGTTGAGGGGCTCCCAGAGAGTTCAGCCTGGAGCTTCCCACCAGGAACTCCCAGAAACGCTCTTTGCAGGGAGCTTTCTCTTGCTTTTAACTTTGACATCTTCCAGAAGTTTCCCCCGCAAAAAAGCAGCCCTGTGGTGGCTGTAATTTCTATGTCACATCTCTTCACACAGTGCATTCCACCCCTTCAACGCACTCCCCCACAAGCACCCTCTCCTGCCCACCTCGCAGAAGCAGCTTCACCCTTCGGTTACAGCCCCCTGCCCTCCACCCCTCCACCCCTCCACCAGGGGAAAGCGAACAAAGCAGGGAAACTGTCAGAGGGAGGGGATGGGGGCAACTTCAGGTAAACCCAAGCTTTGGCTGGAACTTCTGTTTCCTAGTGAGCATCCATTCTGGTTGGCGGTCCACGTTACCATAGCAACCACCCCAGCTGTGGTCCAAAGTCCCAGCCTCAGAGCGGGTCTTCCCGCCTCCCGCCCCCTCCCCCGCCATCCGTGAGCCACTTACTGTGATGGTGTTTTCCTTGCTCTGTTTTTTGCCTGGCGACGAGGATCCCAGGTTCTGAGGAGAGAGGTGAGGCACATCATCAAAGCTGCTCTCCATGTTAGACATTTTTTTCCCCATCCCCGTTCCCCAGGTGGGTGGAGGGATTGGTTAAGGACCCTGAGGCCAGGGAGGTTCAGGTGTTTCAGCCTGCCGTTAACTCCTGAGCAACCATATTCTGGGCCAGGGCAGGCAGGAGCATCTTAGAGCCCCGAGCTCAGAATGCTCGGGCTCTGGGCAAAGTGGAGGAAGGCTGAGCTCAGACTCCAGGGAACCACAGCAAACCAGGTCTCCCCTCCTCTCCTTTCCAACTGGGATTTGGGGAGTTAACCCCTCCACTGCCCTCTGCTGGTAACAAGACCATGATGTCAAAGCAGTGGAGTGTAATGACAGGGGAGCAGAGAGTTAAGGCAGATTGTAGGCCATCCCCCCCCCCCACCCGGCACAGAGGATTCAGCACATGACATCTCATTCTGAACCCCCCCGAGTCTGTAATGTCAAATGGTGAATGCGTGGAATGAGCACGGGCGCTGCTCAGCCACCTTGGCAGTGTGCCGCGGAGCCAGTGCCTGGGAGCCACAGCGATTTCTCATAAGCAGAGCGCCTCCCTGGAGTGCCTCTTTATGTTATCCCCATCGTCAGCAACAAAACCGGAGTCCAGACTACTCATGCCCCTACAGGTGATGGCCAGAGTCCCATGGTTGTGTCGGTGGAGGTGGCCAAGAATAGTCAGCTTAAAAAAAAAAAGCCACATTTAACACGAGAAAATGTTGGTCCTGACGCTTCAGCAGGTACCTTCAAGATTCAACTCCACAGCTCCACAGACAGAACCCTGACATGCCACTTGTCCTGGGTTCCTTGTAAACAGCTCCCTTGAGGCACCGTGAGTGAGCACTTTGTGTGTGTTCTGGGGCTGGCATGGGTCCAAAAAGTGTGAAGGGCTTTACCAGTGAGCCTCAGGGAGGTCAAATGATTTCACCCATGCTCAAGCCACATAGCCCTGAACCCTGGTAAGGTAAGCACCTGGGGGAGGGTTGCTCCTGCCTCAGGAAGCCATCAGCGAGCCAGGCCGAGTGGAGCTCACCGTAGAGCCTTCCCATGGGCAGCCCCACTGAGTTGATCTCCCTGGTAAAGAGCCTTTCACAGAAGGCTCACATCCTTGGAGCTCTTGGTGAAAAGCAACCTTAAGGAGCATCCATTTCCTGGACAATGAGCTTTGAGATGAAGGCCATGGAACTGGCTTCTTGGAATGTTGGGTTTTCCATCTGTAAAAATGGACCATCATTCTGCTGATTCCCACACTGCTCCGGCCAGTCCCAGCCTTGAGCAGCGGGAGACTTCACTGAAGACCTATTGACCTGACCGACTTTCAGTCACTTTATCCAGGCATCTATGCTTACAGCAGCTCCTCTGCTGCTCTGTCAGGCCATGGAGCCATGTCAAGCCTGTGGCTGATGATTGCTTCTATATGTATTTTAAGACACCATCATATCTACCAGGCCTGACCCTTCCATGCTACCACTTCCCTTGTGGGACAGACACCCACTAAAGGTATCCATGGCATAAGACAAGTAGGGGCTGCACAGCAAGAGCCCTGGGTGCCAGGACAAGGGGCATGGACAAGAGTCCCTTTATGGTTCTTCCACACAGAGACACCGGCCAAGCCCATAGCTGCCAAGAAAGGGGCAGACCTGTCTCAGGGCTGGATTCTCTTCTCTGAGAGTCTCTCCGTCAGGGACCAATGTTATGCTGTCTGCCTGATACAGCCCAGGATTGGTGGTGGTAGGGGGACCAGTGGCCTTGGCCATAGTCTGTATATGGCTGCTGTTGCTGCTGGAGGCATGAGTGACTAGGAGGCAAGAAACCCTACAGGAGTAATCCTTCTTCCAGGGGCTTGCTTGTTATTCCCACTGAAAGGAATTCAGGTTCCTAGAAACACAGCTAATTCCAAAGACAAAGCAGCCATGGTATTTGCTGTGCCAGCAAGTAAAAGAGAGCTCCAGTAATGATGGAGATATAGCAAAAGGGCAAAGGAGCAGCTCTAAAGATGATCCCATAGGAATAGCACCACCTCAAGATCCAGCTATACCACTCCTGGGCATATACCCAAAAGATGCCCCACCATTCAATAAAGACATTTGCTCAACTATGTTCATAGCACCTCTATTTGTAATAGCCAGAATCTGGAAACAACCTAGATGTCCCTCAACAGAAGAATGGATACAGAATTGTGGTACACCTACACAATGGAGTATTACTCAGCTATTAAAAACAAGGGGATCATGAAATTTGCAGGCAAATGGATGGAACTAGAAAAGATTATCCTGAGTGAGGTATTCCAGAAACAGAAAGACAGGTTTGTTATACACTCGCTTATAAGCATATGTTGGCTGTATAACATAGGCTAGCCATCTCCAGACCTAAAGAAGTTAAACGCTAAGGAGGACCCTAGGGAGGATGCTTAAATCTCATTCAGAATGGCAAACAGGATGGAAGAGAGGAAACAGGATGAGAGCATACTAAAGAGGGTCCTCTGAAAGGATCCACCCAACAGGGGATCAAAGTAGATGCTGCTACTCACAGCCAAACTACACAGCAGAGTGTAGGGAGTCTTATGGAAGAGGAGAGGCATGGGGTAGAGGGATATGGAGTGGACAGGAGCCTCACAAAGAGACCAGCAAAGCTAAAGGACTGAGCTCAGGGGGTCTGGCAGAGACTGATGCACCAATGGAGGATCATGTAGAGAGGACCTAGACCCCCTGCTCAGATGTAGCCAATTGGTAGCTCCGTCTTCATGTAGATCTCCCAGTAAGGGGAGCAGGGCTGCTTCTGTCATGAACTTGATTGACTGCTCTTTGATCAGTTGCCCCTGGTGATGTAGCCTTGCCAGGCCATGGAGGAAGAGGATTCAGCCAGTCCTGATGAGACTTAATAAGCTATGGTGGAGGACTTCTCCTGTCAGTGGACTAAGGGAAGGGGATGGGGGAGAAGAGGGAGGGAGGGTGGGATTGTGGAAGTTGAGAGGGGGGCTTCAATGAGGATACATAATGAATAAATTGTGAAAAAGATGAACCCATAGGCCTCATTGGGGCTACCTAGGCTCAATAGGAATAATGACCACAAGGGACCTACTCCACAGTGGGCAGAGGGAACACACTATTCCAGAAGAACATCATGAAAATGCATATAGAGTAGTTTGCCACCTGGATATCCCAGTGCCAAAGGGATTTAGACTGTGGTCCTCACAGCACAGAGTGAAGACTGTCAAGAAGGCAGGATAGTCATACAGCGTCACAATAGTGCCCTATGGATTATCCATTAATCAGAAAAGGAAATGAGTGAAGTAAATCTAGTAGTTATTACAGTGACCCAGAGCCTCCTCAGCAGGGCATAGACATACAAGTATGTGTCTCTCCAGAGATGCAGCCAGCTCACCCCATACATAATGCCAGTCAAACCCCAAGCTTGGGTCGACGCATGAGAAGCAAACAGACTAAGAATGTAGGTCGGCCTACAAGACAATGACTGACCTGGAGCCTCCAAAACATAAACTAGGAGTCCCTTGTGAGGGCAGGCAGAAGAAAAGCCACGGGGCATCAGCCTAGACAAAGAGACAAGATGACAGAACTGCCCGTCTCGTGGTGTACTATTCAGCTCTAGGAATGAAAGTTGAGCACACTCAACACAGACATCAGAAACATCCTGAGTGAAAGCAGTCAGCCACTGAGGACCACACACAGCTGACCTTGCTGTAGATAAAAGGCCATCAAAAGGCAGCCCCGATTCAGAAAGTAGGCTAGTAACAATCCAAGGCTTGGATGAGGCTAGGAGTGAGGCAGATTCTCTACAACCCATTGTGATGGAAGACAAACAACTGTGAGCACTCCGAAGACAATCAAGGAATGCCTGGACGGCACCACCCCACCCCCTCCCTCCCCTCTCCCTCTCTTTCTTTCACAGGACTGGCTATTGGTCTCTCCCCTGTAACCTACTGAGCCCTAACCCCAGACTGTATTTTAAATGACGGAACTACATAATAATCAGTTGCATCTCAACAGATGAGATGGACAGATGGACAGACAGACAGACAAAGATAGAGAGATAGAGGCCAATGAGACAAAGTAAGCAACATTTTCACATCAAAAAACTTAAGTGGATCCAGGCCTGGGCGTAAAAGGCGTTTTAGGGACCACTGAAGAACTGGCACGCGGAATGTATACAGCGACATCATCCAACTGGAGCTTTCTTGGGTGTAGTAGTGGCACACGGATGTCTTTCCCCTTTGACTTTCAACTAGGAATGCTTGCATTTAGAGCAGTGGTTCTCAACCTGTGGGTCAGGGTCAGGGGAAAACACATATTTCCGATGGTCTTAGTAACTGAGACACTGCTCAGTAACAAAATCACAGCCATGAGGTAGCAACGAAAATGGATTTATGGTTGGAGGTTCCTAAGACCATTGGAAATATGTCTTTTCTGATGGTCATGACCCACAGGTTGAGAACCATTGTTGAGCGCCAGAAGTCAGGAGTTTGCTTTGACTACAGGGTGGGGGTGTCAAGGCAGGATGAGACCGTTAACGGACCAACACTGCCCTAAGGCCAGTGTTCACTGAAGTGAGAAGCTAGGTCCTTGGGACTTTGTCACAGAAAGTCCCCGATTTTCATATGTTTGCAGCTCCCTGCAATAAATACTTGCTCATTTTGCCTTTGCTTACAATCCACACCCCTTCTTGGATCCAGAGCTCATTCAGTAAGCAGCACAGGATAGCCTTGGCTAGGGACTCCGTGATCCTTCAGATTTGTTGCTCGCTCTCCTTGTTCTCCTCCATTTTGGCTGAACTGCCACTCCCACAGTGCCCTGACCGAACCTGAGTCACAGTGCTGTCTGCAGGATCACATACTGCTTGCTGAGCTGAGAGCGACTTCATGAGCAGGCAACAGCCCCTCTTCCAGGTGTCTTTTTTAACACACCCCTCTCTAAGAATCTCCTGGGTTTTATGCCTTTGGCAGGGGCGTTTCCAATGGGAAAACCCTCTTCAGTTCCCAACATTGTTGGCATAACCTAGTCTCCTTGTGATGGGCTGTGTAGACCCTTTCTGCCCCATCTTCTTCCCTCCTAAGTCACAGCACGAGCCATACTCAGCCTCTGTGGGTTCTTTGAAAGCGTCCCCCTCCTCCCTGCCACTAGGCATCTAGAAGCTCTCCCCTCTGTCTGGAACACAATTCCCTACGCCCATCCCTTTGCTAATCAACCCTTCCTGTAGCCTTCCATGCTTCAGCCTAACATCTTTTCCTAAGGAGCGTGGCACCGTAGTTTGGCTTCTCATTGTGCATACTTCCTCCTGCCCTCATCACTGATGAAATCACACAACTGTTGGCCCATGGACTTCCTCCTACAGCCAGGGTTTCCCCTTTCTACACCTCAGGGCCTGGCGAAGACCCAAATGCATGGTGGGGTATGTGTTAACAAAGTAAAGGGCCTGGGGAAGGACTGCAGAGACAGAGCATCTCAGCTTCTTTGCTTAGAGTGCGTTTGTCAACATACCCTGTTAGGAGCCCTTGATGGCTGCAGTACTGAAGCTGTCCACTGGGCGGCACCAGACCACCACCACCTGTGTCCATCCACCCCAGGTCTCACAGGACTGGGCAATGGAGAAAAGCATGACCCTCAGGAGCTCCAAATCCTGCCTTTTAGAGATGGTCACATGGTCCCCCACTCATTCACTCACATTTCAATTATCATCCAAATGCGCACACATGCTAGAGACTAAACCCGGAGCCCTGGACACGCTAGGTAAGCACTCCACCACTGAGCCATGCCCAGTCCTGAGTTATTATCCAGAGCAATTGTGAGTTATGATTGGCAGCCTGGGATGGAGCATGAGCTACTGTGTATGCTCAGGCCTCGGCTGGGCCCCCTGTCTTTAAGGGGGCATGATCTCAACCTGATTATGGTTAGCCGTTAGAGCTCCTCTCATAATTAGCTTCAGAGGTTCATTCACTGGGATTAAAGAGTAGCAGCTTCTGTATCCAAATGTCTTTGTGTAGCCTAAAGGAACCCTTAAGAATCTCCTTCACAGTTCTGGGGTGCAGCAAGCAGATGCAGATTTATCCGGTCCGGGCGCTGCACCATTTATTTTTGTTCTTCAAGGAGGTCTTAACGTCAGGGTTATCATCTAAAAAGAAGATTCTGCTCACTGACTACCAGGCCAGGGATCAGAGAAGGCCTTCCCTGGAAACCTAGCACTGCATGTCCCTTACCGAGCGTGTGTGTGTGTGTGTGTGTGTGTGTGTGTGTGTGCACATTTATGTGAGCACATATGGGCTGAGGCATAGGTCAAACCCAATCGCTCTCTACTTTGTTTTCTGAGACAGGACCCGTCACTGGCCTAGAGTTCAACTACACTAGGCTGGCCGGCCAGGGCACTCCAGTGATCCTCCTGTCTTCGCTTCCCCAGCTCTGGGATTACAAGGTCCCCTCCGTGGCCCGCCATTTCTGTGGGTGCTGGGAATAGAACCCAGGTCCTCAGCTCGTGCACTAAGGGCCTCTTTGACTGAACTATCTCTCCAGCAGCCAGGTCCCATTGTCTTTTCTGTTTTTATTAAATTTTTTATTTATTCATTTTACATCCTGGTCGTAGGCGCCTCCCTCCTCCCTCCCGGCCCTCCCCTCCCTTCCTGTTTCTCCTATCCCCCCTTCCCTCCTCCTCAGAGAAGGGTAGCCCCCCATCCGCCCACCCCAGCATATTAAGTGGCATCAGGACTGAGCTCCTCCTCTTCCCCCCATGGCCTGTCAAGATAGCCAAGCCAGAGGGGGAGTGTAGATCCCATTTTCGTAAATAAAAAAGAATGTCTGTCTTTCATAAACATGAAATGTGTTGATTCTAGAAAGCTTGAAGAAACTATAAACAAAATAAAAAATTACTCATGCTGACCAAGCGTTTACAACCTCAGTGTGATTCGTATTTTCACACCAGGCGATTCCTCGCTGCGGGAGCTGTCTTGCCCATTGCGCAAGGAAAGCGATGTCCCTTCCACCACCAGATGCATCAACAGCCTTCTCTGGTGCTAACAATCAAAATCAGAGCTGTCACCAAACGTCTCCAGTGAAGAATCTCAGTCTGAGGTGCAGGTAGGACACCACAGATGAGCTGGTCATCTTTCCTCTCCTGAGCTCAGTTTTCCTTCTCCCAGGTAGGATTGTACAGCCCTCATTTACACACGTGCACATTCACACACACTCACAGGCAAGCAGGCAAACACACGGCTACAGGTGGGCAAGGGAGGAACCAGGGGTTGTCGTTCGTTGGAGCCAGAGTTTCAGGGTATTTCCAGTGGCCCGATGTGGGTGCTTGGGACTGAACTCATGTCCCCTGGAAGAACTGTGCAGTCTTGACCCCTGGGCCATCTCCCCAGCCCTCCCACTCAATTTAAAGTGGAAGCATTTCCCAAGCCATTGCATCTTCTTCAGGAGAACGCTCTTTCTTAAAGGCTTATTTATTTATTCACTAGGAGGATGCTTTCTTTAATGGCCGTGTAATATCACCTATGGCCAGAGGTCCAGCACTGAGGTCATTGTGCCCATTCCCTGTTGTTGGACAGTTAGACTGGATCCAGGGTTCTCGGGGTATAAATAATGCTTGTATGAAGAGCCACATGTATAAATCAGAGTCTCTGCCTATATTCCAAGAACAGAAACAGGAGGAGAAATCCCTCTGTCCTAGGCCTGCAGCTCACGGTTTAATGAGTCTCCAGGTTCTAAGCTGTCCCAGCAGCACGCCTGTTTTAAATGGATGTCGGAGCACCGCAGGACTTCTGGAGGCCGGGGGAGTCACATGTCAGTAGGGAGGGGAGAGTGGGGAGCTGCTTCCAGGGTCTCCCCTCAAGGTGCTGGGATAGCAACATGGTTCGCTGTGTTTCCACTGCAGCACATGTCTTCAGAAACAGGGGCAAGTCAGACGACAGGCTGTCTCCCCTACCAGCACACTGCTCAGATGGCGGAGAGAGCCAACAGGTGGCTCAACAGGACATATAAAGCCACGGTTGGCGCATGACAAGTGATGTGAGCAGGGATTTGAGGGGGGGTGGACACAGCTCTGTACTGTGAGCTAAGCCTCAGTCCCCACTAGCCAGGAGCAGCACCACTGCCGGGGAAGGCATGCCCTGCTCACATCAGATCCTGTACTAGACCTGCCCCACCCTGAGCCCCAAGTTCTCTGCCACAGTTTACTGAACCTGAGCTCAACCAATGCTCGACCCCCTGTGAGGACAACTTACTAAGTTTCCAAACACAATGCCCTTGGCTACACTGAAGCCAGGCGTCCCACCTTGGCTGATGGCACTCACAGAGCACAGCGTCTCTCCTTCAGTGACCACACACAGGCCATAGCATACACAGATATTGTTCTCGGTGATATCACCATCACCATCACCGTCACCGTCACCATCACCATCACCATCACCATCACCATCACCATCACCATCACCATCACCATCACCATCA